CAGCCTCTTCTGTCCTCTGTGTGCATTGCAGGACATGGGTGCACGTACCTATATGCAGGCAATACACGAATACACATAAAATAAAAATAATACCTAAAATATTTTTTTAAAGACCCAGCAGTTAGGGTCTTTTGGAGAAGTCCCGCCTTCCTGCTTTTACAAGATCCTGTGTTTTTGTGTTGTGTTTGTGCCTCTGTTGGTGTGGACATCTCTTCAGGTTTTCTCTGTGAACAGGTTTCTTTGAAGGCTCAAATTCTGGGCCATCTAGGGAGGAAGGAGAAAACTACTGGACTATCAATCTCATCAAAAAAATGTAACATAGAAAAACAATCAAACTTGATAAAATGCAATTTAATAATCATCAACTATAATAGAAAATTTAAAATCTAATATAGCTAGTCAATCGGTTAAAAATTATTTAGTAAAAACTGAAATAAGAACCAAATGAAACAAAGAGGGTAGAGGACAGCAGAAAAGTAACAAAAACGATCTTAAGTGGGTGAAAGGACGCACAAGGGCAGGGGAGGAAGTTATGGAGGGAAAATACCAAGAGAATAGAAAAAAGAGGTCACCAAAGAAAGTATCAATAATGACACAGTTAAAGAATGGACTTAAGTAAATTTCTGGAGGATTAAAAAAACTGAAATTTCTCTTTAAGTTAATAAGCCAAGATAGTACAAAAGAAATCACATAAGAGAAATACAGAGTTTACTCAGAGGAGACCTATGTCAAGGAGACCTACCTCAGCTCACCCTACGTCAAGCTTAATACATTTCACCTGCACTATCCATATATCCAGAGGTTTATTCTCATTGCCTAAGATGATCTGGGGGCCACCAGAACCAAGGACACCTGGTTCCAGCCCCCGCTCAAGCATAAATATTTTGAGAAACAATAATTTCACCATTTTACTATGAGGAGTTTAGTCACATTGCACAGTCCCCACATGCAGGTGCCTCTGACTGCCTCCTTATAGGAGCAGCTGTTAGGGTTTCCACCTGTGTGCTCCTTCCATGGCAGCCAGCACAGTGAGACTCATCCACTCATAGGCAGTTCTGTCCCTGTTCCAGGGTCTCTGCTGCACTAACGTCTTTTCTGCCTTCTGGTTAGCACAGTTCTATCTTGATACATGCTGAGACATCATGTAACAAATCTCACTATTATCATTGACTCCAGTCAACTTCCTCTACCACCTAACACTTCCCCAGAGGGGCTTTTTAGCATAAATCCATTTGGTATTTTCTCTACTCTCTAGCCCTTCCAGCTACAGGATATGGAAGCCAGTGCCTCCATCTGCTCCTCTGGTGACTGCCTGTGGTTGTTCCCTCATCCATCTTAATTATTTCCTTATACACACACACACACACACACACACACACACACACACACCACACTCCCATTGTGTGGCAATCTCATCCTCAAATGTATTCCTTACTGAACATACCCATGCCAGGACAACATCTGCAGCCACTTGTGATGCTCCATCTTTGGCATGCTATGGTCAAGGTCTGTAATATCCACAGCTGTTCTCAAAGCATCTCCATAGTCATGGGGCAAAATTCGCACACCAAGCAGGCCTGCCACTCTATAGAGTTTGGAAGAAGACTGTCATCCAAGATTCTCCCTACTGACAACCACTTTCAGGAGGCCTCACCTTAGTGACATCTCATTACTTTCTGCACTGCCCATGTCACTGCCTCCAGCCCCACGATGCACACCACATGAAAGTTATGAAGGTTGTAAGACTCAGAAGATGATTTAGACAATAGAGTACCGGTGTAGACTTCTGAAGGATTTAGTGAAGATAGCTACTACCACATGCCCTAGAAACTACAAATAAGAGGTAAATGTTACTGGTTCTAAAACCAGTTCTGACAAGAAGCCACCTTTGTGTGCTTTCCTTTAAAATGTCCTTTGGTCCGAGGGTATATGCCCTCACCAGGAGAAAATAAAGTGTGACACATTTGCTAATGGCTCCATGAACCTTGTTTAACCCCCGGCTCCTGACAACCCTCTGTTCAAGCCCTTGAACTTGGTGACAAGACTTGGTATAGTCATCAGGATTCCACGGCAGTGAAAAGCTGGGATGAAGTGGACAGACCCCTTCATCATGGAAAAAGCTCTGCCGTCCTGGTAGATGTCTGACTAGGAAGGGAAAAGAAAGTGGCAGGAAGGAGGGCCTGGCTGTTCCTGACTGCAATGAAGGGAGTCAACAAGAAGCCCTGTGGTGGGAAGCCCACAAGTGTGCAGAGCTTGAAACCTTGAAATGCACACAGTGGTCCTTCAGTTCTGTGATTCTTACCAAAAATAAATCTGTTTCTATCTGCTTCATAGATTATTGCTTTCATTATACAGAAAAATAGTAATACGTAAATAAAAGTAGGCCGCAAGCTGGGTGTGGTACCATCAGCTGACCTCTACCATGTGTCTGTCTGTCCTTTTTTCAATTACTATGCTCTTCTGAGAGCCTACACATTTTTATTTTTCCTTAGGAAAAAAATTCACCTTTACAGTTTAAACATCCATGTTCCACTGATTAAGACACATATTCCATGTTTTCCAGTTTTATAGGCTTCATCCTTTGTTTCAACACACTGACTTTGGGATTCAGATAATGCCTATTCTTTTTCAACATGGTGTAGTGGAAACTCATCTAACTTTTTAACACAAGGTCTTTGCTTTTGAGTCAATTTACCAAAGTTGCTTCAGGTATATGAAACCTGAGAGTGGGAATGGATTTCCATACATTGCAGAGATCAGTGGGATCCAGGGCTTTGTTTCTTCCACATCAGATAAATTTTTTTTAAGAGAAGGTAGAAATCACAAATGTGGGGTAGATGGGATAATGTGTCTTGACAGTTGACTGCTCCATGTACTCTACAAACTGCTCTGACTGATCAAAAAGAAGGAAGAATCAAGTAAGTCAGAAAATACAGAACTGAAATTTTAAACACATGTATGCATTTGAGTGTGCAGTGTGCTTGGCTTGCATTCCATGGCTGCAACTGGCCATGAACTTATTCTCTGCTTGTGCACAGGGCAGGGAGGATTCTGGCAACCCACTAGCTAGCTTTGTCTTTGTTACCTGATTGTCTCCAGGGCACTTGGTCTCTCTTCAGCCATCTGCTGTTCATGTCACACCAAGAACAAAACTGTTTACAGTAGCCGAGGGTAGACTCCAGGAGAGCCTTGAACAGACACAACATCTGTAAAATGGTCTATTGAATTACTAAAACTCTTCCTCATGCAAAGACCCAGATAATCTGCTTTGCTCCTCCCTGACTAGCAAAACATGAGGGTAGCTGGGCCAAACAAAGCAAGGTCGTTTTTGTTAAGGGCTGTACCACTGTGGGAGGAAAACCTGTATGTTGCATACAGTAATAATCTCCAACGTCCTCAGGCTCTACTCTGCTGATTTTGAGTGTGAACTCTGTCCCTGATCCACTGCCAATGAACCTGTCTGGGACTTCAGAATACCGGTTAGAAACCTTATAGATCAGGCCTGGTGGAGATTGGCCAGGCCTCTGCATACACCAACTCAAATAGGTGTTTCCATCACTACGTAGGATGCTCTTACTAGATCTGCAGGAGAGGGAGGCTGAATCTCCAGGAGCAGCAGACAAGGTAAGTGGAGTCTGTGTCATCGCAGTGTCTCCACTGGATCCTAAAAGAAGAGAGAAGTGCCAGGTTACAAACATAGTGAAACTTTTTATATTTTCTTTATTATTTAATTCCTGATAGTCATGTTTCATCCTGGTCTCATAATATTCATTGTATATAAAAGATACGGGCAAAGCACAGCGACTCTGGAATTCTCTGCACTATCCCTGCTCACCAGTGTCAGTCTTCAGGAGAGTACAGGTCCATGTTCCTTCTGAAATCCTCCTCTCCCTCACAGATGTAAACTTCCCAGGCCCATCCTGAAGGATAAGGTCTGCACACCTCACAGGAAACATGGGCATCATAGATGTCTAGAGTGCACATTCCCACCTCTTTCTCCTTCCTCATCTCCATCTGTCCTTACCAGGGATCCAGAGCAAAAGCAGCCCCAGGAGCTGAGCAGGGCACAGCATTCTGAGAAGCTGACTGAGGAGTCCTGGGCAGTGGAGACAAGAACACAGCTGAGCTTTTATATCTGACTTGCAGACATGAGAGTGATATGCAGATTCCCTGGTGGGTGTAACTGTGTGAAGAGCCAGGTGAATATAAGCACTCTTCCTGGGAGCAAAGTGACTAAAATGTTCTCTCTGTTTGGAGGAACCCCAGGGCTGTCTGTATAATCTGCAACCTTGAGCAGGGTGTGGAAGTCTCTGCCTGTGGGGAAGATATGGTACCAAAGGCTCTGCCATTCTTACACAACATAGAGACAGCAACATAGAGGTGGGCCCAAAGGGAATCAGGGAAGGGCAATGCCACTCCGTTTGCTTCCTCACAGTCTAGAGAAGAGAACTTACTGACTACCACAAGTAATCATGCTTGAGTATTTATACAGTAATGGCATGAATTGAGTTAGTGTTGTTTCACATCTGTGTTGCCAGAATAATTGTGTATGTTTGTTTAATTGTTAGAAGCACTCCTTCCTCTGGGACTTAAAAATTTACATAAGAACATTTGAATATACAGAAAATAACATGGGAAAATATTTCCCTTTCAAATAGTACATTCACGTTCTTTTCTAAGACAGAGAATTGTTTGCTTCATAGTGCGAATGTGAAATTCTTTCATAGGACAATTTCGTGGAGTCATTTCTGTCCTTCCACATTTTTGCAGGTTTAGAACTCAAGTCACTAGGCTGCCTAGAAAGTGCGCCTAGCTACTGAACCACCTCACGGGCCCTACGGTATCAAATTTTAGATGCTTTTAAGCAGCATGTCTGAGGAGGGATCCTGCTAAGAGAAGCTGAACTGCAAGAAACTTACCTAGACCTTGTCACCTGACATGATGAGGTGTGCCTGCAGCCACAGAGTCTGTGGTGCCTTAGAGGCTGGTCAAGACACATAAGGGAGCTACTTCCTGGGTGATGTGTAGACCATGCACTGTTGGAGATCAAAGCTCTGAAGTCTTCTAGTTCTTGTCCTGGCCATGTTTAAAGATTAACCCATTTCTTATGACTGAGGTCTTCTTAGCCCCTTTCTCAGTACTCTGTAACCATTTCTTCCTGAGCCCAGCCTGCTTTCCACCTGTCCTCTGGGCATCTCAGCATCTCAGCTACTCCTGGCACAGTAGATGTTAGAGCCTCTACATGGAGTTGTGTTTGGTATGTTAGTTACATGTGCAGGGTCCAGTGAGGGTCCTCTTCCCCACAGGAGTGCATGCATCATCTGCTGGCTTCACATGGTATCTGTGAGACTGAAGGGATTTAACTTTGTATGTGAAATACACAATGAGTCCTACAAAAATGAGTCCTACCAAATTTTTGTACTAGAATATTCTATTATTTTTAATATACTCTGCCTCGGCATGTTACTAACTACACATAATTAATTCATGATTAATCTTGGGGTACTGTCATAGCACAGATTATTAGACACTGAAATTTCTTTATCAAAATCGCTCAGTCTAAATTCCAGGGACTATACTAGCCTATTACATGCATGCATTTTCTTGCAAGGGACTATGCAACAGGTGTTCATTCCACAGGCTCAAAGCTGGAGTAGGAGCTACTATTGAGAGACAGAATGCAGGATGGATGCATGAGCTCACAGACTTACACATGTATAAGAAATCTTTGATTTGTGTAGAAATCAAATCGTGCAGAAACTTTGGTGAGGTCCCGAATGCAAGCCCGAAACAATACATAGCATCCCAGAACTCTAAGTAATAAAAGTTCTAACCTCCAACCAGACAATTAAAATTTAACTAGGGCCAAAAATCAGCCTCATTTGAATGTTTTCCTGGAGTACAATCAATAACAAAGAATATTGAAATTACTTGCAATATATCTGACATTAAAATAAATCATTAAAAAAATCAGCTAAAAGAGAGAGAAAAGAATGAAATCAGTCTCTCTTAAACCTTGCAGAGATTTTCCGAAGCTGCTGCAGGAAGGAGAAATCCAGAAGGAACTCAGTGGCCCGTTGTGTTGAGGAAGAAGCAGAGCTGATCCAGATGAGCGAGGCCAGAGGAACAGAGTAGAGAGAGCTGTACAGAGAGAGCCCAGCCTCTGTACAGAGAAGCTCTCAGTGTTCAGAGAGAGGGCAGAATAACGACAGAATGTCTCTCTCAGAGCTCGGTACAGAAGTGTTCACTGCTAGAATGTGGAGAATCTATTCGCCTGAAAAGAAAACCTGCAGAATTAGAAGAAAACGCCATTCTCCTCTCTT